GGGATGAGAGGTCTGGTTTTAGGGAGGATAGGTCTGGTTTTAGGAGTGTTCGCTCTCATCTAGGGAGAGGTTTTAGGGGTCTTATGTCTCATTTAGAGAGGATAAATCTGGATTTAGGGACGTTCAGTCTCATTTAGGGAGGGCAGGTCTGGTCTTAAGGGTGTTATGTCTCATTTAGGGAGGATAAGTCTGGTTTTAGGGGTGCTCGGTCTCATCTAGGGAGAGGTTTTAGGGGTCTTATGTCTCATTTAGGGAGGATAAATCTGGATTTAGGGATGTTCAGCCTCATTTAGGGAGGGCAGGTCTGGTTTTAGGGGTGTTAGGGCTGGTTTGGGGGATGACAGGTCTGTTTTTAGGGAGGGTAGGTCTGGTTTTAAGAGTGTTATGTCTCACTTAGGGAGGACAAGTCTGGTTTTAGGGGTGCTCTGTCTCATCTAGGGAGAGGTTTTAGGGGTGTTTGGTCCCATTTAGGGAGGATAAATCTGGATTTAGGGGTGTTAGGGCTGGTTTTGTGGATGATAGCTCTGGTTTTAGGGAGGATAAAGCTGGATTTAGGGATGATAGGTCTGTTTTTGGGGATGACAGCTCTGGCTTTGGGGATGATAGGTCTGTTTTTAGGGAGGATAGGTCTGGTTTTAGGGGTGTTCGGTCTCAGGGAGAGTAGATCTGGTTTTAGGGCTGTTACATCTCATTTAGGGAGGATAAATCCGGATTTAGGGGTGTTAGGGCTGGTTTGGGGGATGATAGGTCTGTTTTGGGGGAGGATGGGTCTGGTTTTAGGGAGGACAGGTCTCATTTTAGGGGTGTTCAGCCTCATTTAGGGAGGATAAACCTGGATTTAGGGAGGATAAACCTGGATTTAGGGATCTTATGTCTGTTCTTGGGGATGAGAGGTCTGGTTTGTGGAATGATAGATCTGTTTTTAGGGAGGATAGGTCTGGTTTTAGGGGTGTTAGGGCTGTTTTTAGGGAGGGTAGCTCTGGTTTTAGGGATGCTAGGTGTCACTTATGGACGATAGGTCTGGTTTTGGGGACTCCAGACCCACTTTTAGAGAGGACAGGTCCAGTTTTAGCGAGGACAGGTCTGGTTTTAGTGAGGATAGATCCAGTTTCAGTGAGGATAGGTCTGGTTTTAGCGAGGATAGATCCAGTTTCAGTGAGGACAGGTCTGGTTTTAGCGAGGATAGATCCGGTTTTAGTGAGGACAGATCCAGTTTCAGTGAGGATAGGTTTGGTTTTAGTGAGGATAGATCTGGTTTCAGTGAGGATAGGTTTGGTTTTAGTGAGGACAGATCCAGTTTTAGTGAGGACAGGTCTGGTTTTAGTGAGGACAGGTCTGGTTTTAGTGAGGACAGGTCTGGTTTTAGCGAGGATAGATCCAGTTTTAGTGAGGACAGGTCTGGTTTTAGTGAGGATAGATCCGGTTTCAGTGAGGACAGGTCTGGTTTCAGTGAGGATAGGTTTGGTTTTAGTGAGGACAGATCCAGTTTTAGTGAGGACAGGTCTGGTTTTAGTGAGGACAGGTCTGGTTTTAGTGAGGACAGGTCTG